CATTTTTAAGAGAAATTTGTTAAAAGAACACAAATTGAATGTCACTTTTAAAATATCTACTATAGTATTTGAATTTAAGGTCCAATGATTATTGTTTGATGGTTAATATTTAGGGGGTGAAGATAGGCTTATAAACTTTGTAAATAATTCTTAAACACTTATAAAAGATTTAGGAAAGTTAATCCAGTCTTTTTTTCAATACAGATTCATATTATTTATGACAATAGTCATCCCTTAAAGATAATTTTCAAAAAAATAACATTAAATTTTGGTAAAATTAGAATTTCCCCAATTGTAAAAAACACCAGCATCAACAGTCTCCCATCAATTTTTCTCAATCAAAATAATATTAAAAACATAAAAATAAGAAAAGTAATGTAGAAAAGAAGAGAAGAATTCCTTCATAAGAAATTCTCCCAATTTGTTGAGAAAGCCATTTGCTATTGCTATATGTCCTTCTTTTATTGGTTTATTTAGTTTTTGACACTAAAATTAAATACATGAATAAACTAAAATAAAAATATTCATCTATAAATGTTGAAAGATCCATTTGGAGAAACTCTCGAAAATTGCATCTCCAAGTTCATTCTATTTTCACTCGGAAATAGAATTAGAGTAAAATGTTCCAACTCCGCTCTCTAACAGAATAAAATTGTGTTTATTCACTTAAGAATAATCCATGTATTTTTGTTCATAACTCTATTTTTACTATAAAATGAAGTATTATTAGAGTAGAATTCAACTTTACGTTACTTTTTTTTTAATGAAAAAATAAAGTGAACCGTTAAGATTAGGCCTAGGCATTTTACCCGGACCCGAAGACCCGAACCGGAACCGATCCGAAAAATACCCGACCCGAACCCGACCCGAAAATTTACAAGTATCTATTGGGTCTAAATTTCTTTTACCCGAATAGACCCGGACCCGAAAAGAACCGACCCGAATAGACCCGGACCCGAAAAGAACCGACCCGAATAGACCCGACCCGATAAGAACCGATTTGTACCCGACTTATAAACATGTATATCCAAAACTATTATTTTTGTGTTATGTTTTATATATCTATACTATTTTATAATTTAGTTGAAATATCTTTTGTTAACAACATTTATTATTATTTGTAACATTTTTAAGTAATATAAAGTCTTAAAAATGTAAAATTTAAAGTTTAAAAATGTTTTCTTTAATTATTAATAGTTTAATTTAAGTTATTTTATAAAATTTTAGATATATATGAAAAATATTGACTGAATTTGAGTGAGTTTGGGTATGTTATGTATATTTAGATTCTAAATACCCGGACCCGATCCGGACCCGATATGGATCCGAAAATTACGGGTATTTTACAGGTATTGAAATTCTAGACCCGAACCGACCCGGACCCGACAAGACCCGACCCGGAACCGACCCGAAAAATCATAGGTACCCATATGGATCTAAATTTCCAAGACCCGAAAGACCCGGACCCGATCGGAACCGACCCGAACCCGACCCGAGGACCCGGATGCCCAGGCCTAGTTAAGATAGTGTAATAGTGTGTTGTTAGGTAGGTTTCAAGTTCAACTATTATATGTCATTTGATGAGAGAACAAGAAAATGTCTTTTTTGAAGAAGAAACTGAACACAAAAGTTTTATGCACCTTAATGTTACAGAAAGACGTAATGCATAGGATTCAACGCATATTAAAATCGGTGAACAGTTGTCGCATCACAGCTGCAAATCTGTTTGTAAGGCAATTTGAAACTAAACAAAAATGAGTAACAAAGGTACAATTGGAAATACTATTTTTGGGTCAGTAAAGATGAAATAGTTAAGAGTTCGATAAATATATAATGAGGATAGGTGTGGTTGGGGGAAGTACTCAGTAAATCAATGTTATTAGATACAAAATCATAGGGTCCCCACTCCCCCCACAGAAAGAGTAAAGAAAGAAAAGGACAGTTTACACGAAGACATACACTGTACTCTGAATTCACATGAAACCCTAGTTACTTAACTTTGTTTCACTTATTTTCACTCAACCTCCTTTATTACTTTACCACCTGATCCTCTCTCTCTCTCTCTATCTCTTAATCCCTAAGCATAGCTAATGTTACTGCTATATTCCATATCCCACGCTTCTTCCGAATCTATTGCTGGATCCTTCTCTTTATACTACATATGCACGTTTTAATCAATTCCATGTCAGTTTGTTATAACATATGAACGCAATATTTAAGTTTCGTGTGCTTGTGAATCTTTTTCGGTTTGTGATATTATCTACCAGTCTAACACTGTTGTCTTAACAGCATTTGATCCCTACTTAAAGCATCTCTAAAAACTCTCTATAACTTCAAATATAGAGGTTTTTGCTCTTCAAAAAGAAACCTCAAAACTTCAAATTTAAAGTTTTGAGAAGTGAAATTTCAATGAAGTTTCACTTCTCAAAACTTCATATTTGAAGTTTCATTTTTTATTTGCAATTTAGTCCTTATATTTACATATCTTATTTATTATTTTTAAGTATTTTCTTATTTATCATTTTAATCTTTAAAAAAATATACCTCACAAATTTTCAAATTTATTTCTATAAATTAAGCTTTACATATAAAATTAAATAAAAATTAAAATAAGATTTATATTATTTTAAAAGTAGAATTAGACAACATGAATATTACAAAACAAACTGAATTAAAATTATTTTTTTTAAAGTACATGAAAATTAAAAGTATAGAGAGTCTCTTTTTACTTCGAAATGGACTAGTTGATCACATATGAGAGTATTATGGAAATAATTTTATGGAACAATGTGGTATTTTTCTTGTAGTTTAATATTTAATTATATACTTTTATTTCTAGTTTTATATTTTAATGTAAAATTTTATTAATTAATATTATTGTAATATTTTTATATATTTGTTTATTATTTATCAAAGTTTTATGAATTTTGATTAATTGTGACAAATATAAAGACCATAATGTAACATACAAATAATTTGGAATTTAGTTTTAAAATTTTTCTTTTGGAGAAGAACACTTTGAAACTTCAAATATAGAGTTTGTGAAACTTCAAAATAGAGTTCATTTTTGGAAATGCTCTTACAATATAAGGATATGTATGCAGTGTGGTCTCAAATTATTTATGTTTATTAAAGGTATATTTAAGGATAAGTATGCTGTCCCAAATTATTCATGGCATTGTTCAAAAGTATACTAATGTATATTAATGATGTAACATAGTAGTTTTAAATGTTTATAGCTCTATTTATATGTATTTTATGTCTTCTATGAAATTATAAATTTGAATTCTAGTAGTATATAAAAAGTGAAGTTTTAGACCATATATATATCTTCAAAAAATTATTAAATTTTTATTTTGTAATATTTGGGCAATGTTCTACCGCTTCATTTGTTCTTGTTATTAAACAATCAAATAACATCTCTATACACATTATATTTTCAGAAAGTATTCTTTAATACAACTTCTAAAACAAAATATATTATTTTTAGTAAATGATATATAATTTACCTCTGCTCCCACTAAAAAAAATTGTAGATCGGCCACTGAATATACGCAACTACTTTGCCATAATTTTGACCTCAGTCACATAGATTTTAGTTCATGAATCTATATTTATAGATACATTAGGCATCGTGATTATGCCATATATTGCTATTTAACTTAGCTTTGAGAACGATTTGACTGCAATTGTCCTAATATAAATTTGTTTTTTTTTTTTTTGTATCTCAAATAGTCAGTTCATTTTTAGTGTCGGAGTAGAGATCTTCACTTAGTGGTGGTCTACTTGTTGGCCTAAACACAAGTAACCTCTCAATGTAAATGACTCCTTGATGTAGCGGAAGCTTCTAGGGATAGAACTAGATCCGTTTATTCTAAGAATACCCGGAAACTAGGGTTTGTGAATACTCTTCACAGTGCTTAATTAAAAGCTCTTAGGGTTTGAGAATACTCTTCTCAGTGGTTTATAGAAACCTCTGTTGGTTTATAGAAACCTCTTTAAGAACATACTTTTATTTATCAAATCATTATAAAAACTGTTGAATACAACTCTAGGCATAAGAAGCCTATATATATGAAAACCATAAAACCCTAAAATAATAAAGATAATTATCAAAAATAACTAATAAAATAAATAATAAATATTTGGAAATATCCCAAATATTTATCTACATCATTCTCTCCGGGTTGGAGAAGATTCGTCCTCGAATCTTGATTGTTGTCTTTGAATCCGAAACGTTTTCCAAGAAAAACTCTTCCTTGAATCTTCAATATCGTTCTTGGCATAAGAATATCAGAAATCTGCACGAATTTCGCACATCTCAGAATCTCCAGAAATTTTCCAAAAACTCTATACTGCACGATATTTGCACGGATCTGATTATATCTTGAATCTTCAAAAATTCGTTTTTGCACAAAGTTTGCACGCATCAAATCTTCATCAATATGATTTCGCCCTAACTTTGCACGCGAATTTTCAAAGTAACCCTCTTTGAAAACAAAGTCAATAGGATGGACATTGTCTTCATATATATCATAGATTGGATCACCATAGATCTCTCGATAGATCTCATGGTTCTCTTCTCTCTCAACAAAAGGACTTTCGTCCAGGATAGGATAGATGCTAATACTCACCATGACATCCATAATCGTCTTCGATTGAGAAACCAAAGGAACCTGGCTCTGATACCAACTGATGTAGCGGAAGCTTCTAGGGATAGAACTAGATCCGTTTATTCTAAGAATACCCGGAAACTAGGGTTTGTGAATACTCTTCACAGTGCTTAATTAAAAGCTCTTAGGGTTTGAGAATACTCTTCTCAGTGGTTTATAGAAACCTCTGTTGGTTTATAGAAACCTCTTTAAGAACAGACTTTTATTTATCAAATCATTATAAAAACTGTTGAATACAACTCTAGGCATAAGAAGCCTATATATATGAAAACCATAAAACCCTAAAATAATAAAGATAATTATCAAAAATAACTAATAAAATAAATAATAAATATTTGGAAATATCCCAAATATTTATCTACATCACTCCTCCAACTAAGTTTGGGGTTGATCTAAGACAAATACATAATTGATTGAACTTTTTTTGTTTGTCAACATATTTGATTGAACTTATTTGACTGAAAAATGGCACATTTACTATATGAACAAGAACATATACAATTCGCACTGTTTCCTACACTTTTAGAATCTGATTCTCTACTCAACTTTCAGAGAAGACGACGCCGTTTCAGCTTGCGAAAGGCTACGCCAGAAACCACCACTGTAAAATCTATTCCACATCTCCTTCTCTAACGCAACCACTTCCTCGTCTTCTTCCTTCTCTTCTCCTCCGTCATTCAACTCCATCGCTAACTTATCGAGACCTTCATCGTCTTTACTCTCTACCGGATGAACAGCGAACTTCGAACTCCCAACTTTGCTCAGCTTCCTCTCGCAATCTCCATTTTCTTTCTTCCCCAATCTCCTCCGCCGCAGACAACGGATCGCGCGGCGGCAGAGTCCGCGAGGGACCTTGTAGACGGCGAGGACGACGAGACTGACGACGCTGCAAGGCCCGCAGCAACATAGCGCGGCGAAATCCGCCGTCGTACCACCGCAAAACTCCGCCGCCGTGGATCCTCCGTGGCACAGCGACGGCGTTGAAAGGCTTCGACGGAGACTCGGTTGTTTCTTCCCGCCGAGAGACGGTTCCGACGGATTCATATTTTTGCGATCAGAGACAAAAGCAATCAAATCTGTTTTTAGCTTCTTCCTCTTCGTCTTCTCCGCTCAATGTACATCACCAATTCAAATCAAAAATCCATTTTCCGAGAAAAAAACACGACAAGCACTGAATCTGGGGAAAATGATAATACTTTCTCGAGAATCTGAAGAGTTTGTTTGAAACGGAGAGAGAGTGAATACTATTGGTGGGGGAGGGTGAGGACGGTTTTAACTTTTTTTTATCTTTTCACTCTGTAACGATTAAATGCCTAAGCTTTGAAGGCTGAAACTGACTTTGAATTATTTAATGAAGACGACCATGAGTCTAACAGTCATATATATACAGTCGTCTAGATGCCTAAAGAAAAATATATAGTCGTCATCAGTGGATAGAATATTATATCCTTAAAGCCTTATTTTAGTTAAATATCTGCAATAAAAACGTTCCTCAAAGAGGTTAGCTAAAAAGAATTTAGTTATACAGAGATCTTATCTGTTTTATTTTGACTATTTATTCAAAGTTATGTAAGTACTCTTGATAACTAACAACACATTAGTATTCTCACCATCAATAAGAATGCTAGTTTTTCAAAACCAATTTGCTCTCTCTTGTTTTTTTTTCATTTCCTTTTTGCCAAGGTAAAGTTGGTTTTTAGATTGTACTCTGAATAATCTGAGCATCATTAATATGATATTAGCATTCTTTGAAGAAAAAACTAGTTCACTAAAAAGAAGTTTCTCTATAATGCAAAAAAAATATGTTGACAAAAAATTAACGTTAGATGATTAAAAAGCAATGTGAAATAGTATAATGTATGATTAATCAATACAATTCATTTTGTTGTCTTCTTAACTTATTGAAAGTTTAGAAAAAGATTGCACCAATATTACTAAATCTCGTTTTAATAAAACAGACAACATACTAATTACAAATGTAAAAACAAAAAAAACTGAAGCTGACTTTCCAACTAAATTAGAGGCCCATCAGCAACACCGGCTCAATATTCAGTTATAGGTTTGTCATTTGGGTTTATATCACTGCTTTTTGATTTTTCTCTCTGTTGAGTCGCAAGTTTGGATTCTCTAAAGGCAAGAAAACAGGAAAGAGGCTTGATTAAAATGTATTAAAACCACACTGATACATAAAGGTTCTAGTTCATACAAAATTGTTTTAAGGAAAGAACAAAACAGAAAAGAAAGAAAGTAAACAACATGATTCTTGCCGGCGATATTGATTACACAAGCAGAACAGCGTTTATACATCCGTCATTCTCTGGATTGTTTGTCACCTGAGCGTATTTCCCTGAATTCAAAACAAATAGAGAGCTTAGAAACTGCTACCACTCTTAAAAACTTGTACAAAGTTCTCTACAACTGTCGTCACTTACCCCAAACAACTTTTCCAGCTGGTGTAACAAGACCAAGCTCACTCACATTGACCTGAAAATCAATTCACATATATGAGAACCTCAAGAGATATATCCAGTCTTTAGTATAGAAGTGAGAGAACACAATATGTGTCTTGGTTGTACTAACCTCAATGATTGTTCCTCTGGTCATGACACCAAGTGATGTATACATTGGACCGTTAGGATTCTTCTTGATCCCGATGATCTCAAGACAGAAAGTACATCTTAGTTCAGGGTGAGTGACGTGGGCCTTGGTGAAACGCAGTCCAGAAGGGCGGATGAATCTCTCATACTTTGGTGGCTTCCTTGTGAAACCAGGTCCAACAAATGTAGCTTTCGTTACCATCCTCTTCCATTGTTTAGCTGTATAGTTGATGCAAAAAACATTTCAACACTTTTAAATGACAATCTAATCTACAAAGCAAACTGAATATAATCTAGAATTCGTATCATATATGAGTGAATAAAAAAGTTCATGATCTCAAACTAAACACATACTTTTTCTCTTCCCGGATCTGATCACCCTGAACATCTCATCTTCAGCCACAGGACGGACCTGGAATAGGAAAAGGCTATTAGCTACCAACAGAAAACATTTAAATCACTGAATGAACACTAAAGCAAGTACGAAAGAATGTTTTCACCTTTGGCAAAGGGACCTCCCACTTCCCAGCCTTCTCTTTCCTCTTCTGTTTAATGGTGTTGCTAAGAACCTAAACCCAAAAATAAACACATGTCAAGCATTGCTTTCCCCCAAGAACCATCTACATAAACTCGAAACAAAAAAAACAAACCTTGGCACGAGAGGTATTCTCACGATCAAGAAGATAAGCAGGAACAGCTCCTTCCTGAACATCCTCATCAACTTTACGCCTTGATGAACTCTCCTCATGCATCTTCAACCTGTAAACAAAATCTCAGAACAAACTTAATCATTCCACTCTACAAAACCTATCAAGATTCAGTGCATCATGCCACTAAACATCTTTGAATATACACTTACGTTTTCTTCATTTGAGCCTTCTCAGCATAGTTTTTCTTAGCAATCATCTTACCCTTTATACCTATAGACTGCGAAATTCCACCACAAAAACAGAGACGAATCAGTAATAAGAAGCAAATCAAAAAAAAGTTCAAAAAACAAAGATAAATGGAAGAAGTAAGAACATTCTGAGCCTGTTTGGAGCGCTTGTGAACTGCACGCGCCTCCTTCTTGCGCTTGCGCTCCTCGTAATCGAGGCGGCGTCCATGCCTCTTCTGATGCAAATCGATATAATCTCCCTGCGGCTGTTTTTTTTTTCAAATCAAGCAAAGAAGAAACAACACGAATAGTCAGAGATAGATATCCTCTAATTCTACAGAACTGAGAAACGAAAGGTATACGAATGCTCCGGCGGCGGAGAACGAACCATTGTTACTTCGAAGCGGTGAGACGGTGAGACGGTGAGAGAGGGAGAGAGGTGTGAGGGAGAGAAGACGTTAGGGTTTTATTTAACGAATCGATTCCTGAGTCCTATGTAGAAGTCCAATGGGCTTTGTTTGTAATCTAATGGGCTTATCATTGGCTAAGCCAATCACTAAAAATAAATGTTTTCTTCACTTTCCGATGTTTTTTTTTTTTTTAACATTGAAAAAGTATTTTATTTCAAATAGTCAGTCCATAAATACAGTTTACGGAACGGCAGTAATCTATACTATATAAAAGTTGAGGCTATAAGCCATTGAGGACGTCCACGTAGGATTTAAGTCCTCCAATCGTATAATGACACATCATTATATCAATTTATTATTTTTATAAAATTTCTTTGTTTCCAAATTATATTAAAAACGAAATTAATATTCCATATATAATTTACCTAACAAAATAAATGTTAACATTTTACAAATTACATAAAAATGTTAACTGTAATAGAAAAAAATGGAAAATCAAAAATAAAAACGTAATATTAACAAAACATTATTTTCTTTTTAGATATACTAAATGTAAAGTAACATTTTTAGAAAATGTCAATTTTTCCAAATTATATTATAACCGAAATTAATATTCCATATAATTTAACTAAAAAAATAAATATTAAAATTTTATAACTTACTTAAAAATGTTAACTGTTATAAAAATGGAAAATCAAAAAATATATTGACAAAACATTATTGTCTTTTTAAATATAAAGTTTATTTTATACAAAAAAATAAAATAATAATATAATGGTAAAATAGTAAAAGTAACAAAAATCATCTTACAAAAATAAAATAAATTTAATGTATTTTTTTTAAATATCATTGTTTCCAAATTAGTTTAATTAAAAATTATATTATCTAATAAATTAGGTTATTAATATAAATTATTAGTTTTAAAATGTTAAGATTTCCAAATTTAAATGTTAGGATTTCCAAATTTATCTATGTTAACATAAAACGGAATAAAGCAAATTATTAATATAAATTATTAGTTTTTAAATTGTCANTTTCCAAAGTTCTGTATATTAACATAAAATAGAATAAAGCAGGTTGTTAATATAAATTATTAATTTTTAAAATGTCAAGATTTCCAAATTTTAATGTTAGGATTTCCAAATGTTTGTATATTAACATAAAATACAATAAGAAATTTTATAATATATGAAGTATTGGGTGACTATAAATAATTGTCTGAAGTTCTAAAAATTTTCAAAATATATGTTGAGAAACAAAGAGATATTGGAAAGAGAAAAGAGATATTGATACAATGGTTGCTTTGACTTCTTCTTTGGTTTTCGATGATCTTAGAAAAAGTTTTAATAAGAATGAAATTTTTGCTAGAATGATTCACTTTTGCGAAGCACAAAATATCATAAGGCTGATTTGCTAATGAGTTTCGAGTTATTAGTTATTGATCAAAATGTATGAAATTTTTTATTTAGATATTATCTATAGTATATAAAATTTGAGGCTATAAGCCATGAAGGCCAAGTAGTATTTAAGTCCTTTAATCATATCATGACACTTAAGTTTTTTAATTTGTTATTTTTAAAAATGTTCGATGATCATAGAAAATGTTTTAATAAGAATGAAGTTCTTGCTAGAATGATTCACTTTTGCGAAGCACGTAACATCAATAAGGCTGGTTTGCTAATGAGTTTCGAGTTATTACTTATTGATGAAAAGGTATGAAAAAATTATTTAGATATTATCTATACAATACAAAAGTTGAGGCTATAAGCCATGAGGGCGTCTA